TATTTGTGTGTGTGTGTGTGTGTGTGTGTGTGTGGCCAGCTCAGCCCACCAGGGGGCGGGGCTGGCTGGCATGTGGTGCTGGGGGATTGAACCAACTGCAGTCCCTGTGCTTTGTTTAGCTTAGCTTGTTCTAAGTAGGTGCTTTAGACCACTGAGCCATCTCATCAGCCCCTATCCTAACCACTTTGAATACACAGATACAAAATGGACATTCATCTGTATCCTCTTTTTTAAGTTCCATTATTTGAATATTATAGGTGTGTAAACTCAGCAAAATATTCTAAAAGAGTCCAGTACCCATAATAGTATTGGGTTAAGCTTAACAGCCTAGGTTGTATGGTAATAACAATAAGCTTGTCTTCTGGATGATTAACAACCTAAGTTTGCAGACCAAAATTAGAGAAAAAAGAGGGCTGCAAGGAAAGCCAACACTTTGGAGTTCTTTTCTAAAGCCCTGGCCTGTGAGCACAGGGAGCCTTTGGGGGACATTCTCCATATACACCCTAATGGGCCTAACTTTCCATCCTAAGTTAGAGAGGCAGAAAACTTCACTAATCACCATATTTTGGGGGTGTAGATAAGGAGACTTTTTAAAAATTAGGAATGTTCTCAGTGTTTTGGAAAGATTTTTCTTTTTAAAGCTTTGCTCAACATGATAAATGAGAAAATATAGATGAATAAAAAGAAAAAGAAGCACCTGCTTAGGCAGACATGGCACAGTCCACCCCTATTAAAAGGCCCACCCACCAACTCTCAGAGTATTACTTCACTATTTCTGTTTGCCACTTGCTCACACTGGAGCTGAGCTTCAAGGCAGGTATAGGATTAGCAATCCACCCCACTCTTAATTTTATGGTCCTTTCTTGTATTTAAAATTGTAGGGCTGGGCCGGCCAAATAGCTCAGCAGATTAAAGCACTTAGAAGCAGATGCAGGGGCCTGGGTGTGTGTGTGTGTCTGGGGTGGTTGGAGGGTGGTGGGGTAGGGGGGCCTTGCCGTGCTGGCCCCGCCCCTGGGTGCGCTGAGACTGCAATTGAGACTAGGATCCCCTGGGCATGGTGGTGTGCATCTGTAATCCCAAATCTTGGGAAGCTATGAACAGGAGAATCACTATGAGTCCGATCTAGTAGTGAGACCTTGAACACCCTGTAGACCCTTCCCTAAAATACAGAAAAAAAAATTGTAATACATTGGAATTTTTTTCAAATGGTTATTAGGTTGATTATATCTGCTTGCAGTGGCAAGCAGAAATAGTGAAGTGATACACAAGATTTGGAGGTAGATTTATTTATGTTGACATATATTTAGGGAGATCTGGTTATGTTCCCAGAATATGAGGCCTTCATCTCTAGTGGTCTAGGGCTTAAATAGGATAAGCAAGCAGGTAGTACAGAGGCAGAGTGGCTTGTTAACTGGGGACCAGTTCTTATAATATGCATCACAGTGATCAGCTGTTTCAAAGAGACAGGAGCAACCTGAACTGGAACAGAAACTATTACCTGGGCAACTAACAAACTGAAGTATCCTGGTGTGCTTTTTTTTTTTTTTTTTTTCATTTTGAGACAGGGTCTTACTATGCAGTTCGTAATGGCCTTGAGCTCACTTTGTAGCCCAGGCCGGTCTTGAACTCAAAACAATCCTCCTGCCTCAGCCTCCTGGGTACTGGTTTACAGGTGTGCTCCGCCATGGCCTGGCTCTGAGGGGGACATTTTCTTTTTCACTATTATTTAAGCACTTGTCTTTGGTCCACTTATATGAAAATATTGCCTGTGTCATATGATAAATTCTCATATACTAATGTAATTTTGTTATTTTTTAATTTTCTAAAACACATTATAAAAGTTTTATTTTTATTGTACAAAAACTTAATGCAGAAAATATACAGAATAAAAACCAATAAAACCTATTAAAGCAAATTAATTACCGTACAATATTTAATATTTATTTTTTCAGGGTTTTTTTTGTGGAACCGGGGATTGAACTCAGGTCCCTGTGCTTGCCAGGGAAGCGCTTGTTCCACTGAGCCATCTCCCCGGCCCCTATTTTTTTAGATTTTTTCTAAGCTATTTTTTTTTTTTTAATGTATTTGATACAGGGTCTCACTATGCAGCTTAGACTCATAGTGATCCTCCTGTCTCAGACTCCCCAGCACTGGGTTTACAGGTGTGCACTACCACACCCAGTTTCAGTGGCCAGCATGGTGCCCTGAGGTTCTGGGGCCTGCATGGGTACTGGGGATTGAACCTGGGTCCTTGTGCTTGCCAGTTAGGCGCTTAGACCACTGAACTATCTCCCCAGCCCTGTAAGCTATTTTTAACTTTAAAATGTATGATTAATACCTGTCTGTACCTATACAAGTAAATCCAGAATAATATGTATGTATGTATGTATGTATGTATGTATGTATGTATGTATTTGGTGTTGTATGCCTGTAATCCCAGTGCTGGGGAGGCTGAAAACAGGAGGATCACTATGAGTCTGAGCTTCGTAGTGAGACATGAAGGAGATAAATTACCTAGTGACCCAGCATTTTAAATTCAAGTTTAAATGGAAATAGTCATCAGTACATAATACCAGTTTCTAGAAGGGGAAACTATGAAGCCTTTATTAAACTCTTATTTGTTTCAAAAAGTTATTTAGAAGAGTTTCTCAATTCTCACTCCTGGAGAAACATGTACTTTCTTGTTTGATACCACATGAGATATTTAGAGCATGGGAAGGTTGCTTCTCTTGGCCAAATCCTGAGCCACTTGAGGGCTGAGATGTAGTTGCTTGTCACACACCCATGTGTGTCATTCACTTAGATTATAAAATCGGTTTTCATTTGCTGTCTTCCATGTGCACCCTTGCTCAGACGTCTCCACTGCAAGCCCATGGAAAGGAGCGATCATTGTAGTCACACTGGCTGACGCTCAGGTAGTTATTGCCCACGATCGTGCATTTATTCCATGGAGGAGCAAAGATTCAAACCTCAGACATACATTTCATTATTGCATGGGTGCCAACTGGCAAGAAGGAACAATAACAAGGAAAATGATTATTGTTTTAATTTGAAAATGTCCAAGGAAAATAGGGACAAAAGCACAATCTGTGTTGATCGTAAAATAGAGTATGTGTTTAAATTTAAAAACATCATTACAGTAAAAGACATTGCCATTCATCTCTCTGAAATCCTCTTCTCCCCTGCTATAAACACTTACCCACTGTTCTGGCCCTTACTGAAGCTGTTCTGAAAGCCCCCTCTCCTGAATGTCTTTAGTTGCTTGGGTGAGGCTGGGA